ACACACACGTCTGTGAGTTTGTTGAGGTTTGAAACAGAATCGCATTTTTCTCTTCTTTTGCTTGTATATATTCTGATGGATAGTCAGAAAATTCATTAGAATTTTAAGATACAGTTGGTTGATGCAGCCGAAATAGATTAGCTGTCCACACCAGTGGATCTCTAGATGTGCACACTCAGATTTTATATCCTTGATTCTTGCAAAATGGGTGCAGCTGGTTCCATGGTATTGGTTTCCAGAGATTGTAGTTGGATCTGGCAATTTCTTGTTGTATAGTTGTATAGGTTTTGATTTCTTATCATGTATCATTCTTTTGCTAATAGGTCCAGCCAGTGCCAATTAGTCAGGTGATGTCTGAAGGTGCATACATCCTATTCTATTCAAGGTAATTATGAACCAACTTTTTCTACACAGTATTTTATTTAAATCATTCATCAGCTTTTCAATTGTTAAACCCTGTTCAGGTCTTGCCCACGACCTCCAAGAGCTTGTTCTGGGAAAGCTACCTCACTGCAATCTCCATCTTCTGCAAGGCATTGTACATCCAAAACTCAAAAATCATTAAGACCGGTGGAACCCAATTCCAGCTGCCATTCGTTTGCCTCAGAATTTCCATCAGGTCCCAGACCAGAAATTTGTATGGGTGCTTGCAACAGAAACTCCAACAGCACTCTAAGGAGTACAAACATGAATGTCTTGCCTGTGAGAGAAATCTATGCTGAGTCAACTAGCACAGAATTTTCAGATGCCACATCCAGTGATTGGTCCCATTTTACGAGCTCAGATGAATCATCATTTACTACTGAGAGTACGAGAGATTCATTCAGTACTGTGGACTATGCTGACTTCAATCTTGATTCCATTTCCTCCATATTCAATACCTTTTATCCATCGGATTACTCTTCTCACAACTCTATTTCCTCTAGAAGGTTCTCACATAGTAAGCCGCAGATACAATTCCATTCAGAAGACAAAGGTTTTGTTTTGGACTCGTCCATGTCAACCCATCCCCTTGACAGTGTACAGAATGGAAAGAATCCAAAACAGGTCAGCATTTTTTCGACCGAACCTTTTCCTTCTGTTGGCAACTGCGGTGTATTTGTAAAATATGGGACTAGTCCCAAAGATAGTTTTGCTCAAACATCTGGTCATTGTCAACACTAATTTTTATAATCTTGTAGTTATGGGAATTCCCATCTGATGAAATATATCACTTTTCCAGAGACTAACCATGCCTCACAAGTCTGATTTTATTTATTTGAATTAACCATCCTGTTAATGGGCCAAATGGTATTGTATTTCATTGAGAATGGGGGTCGAAGTCGGTCCCCCTTTTGAAGATTGAGTGTATTGTGTGATGTCATATTCTCTTCACTCCCTACCAAGAGTGATTTTTATGGCATGCATGTATAGAAATCCACTTGCAGAGCCAGAGATGCACTTACCAAAGGTTCAACCTCAGGGCCTGTTGGTTTGTTTCAGATATTTCTTCCATTATCCCTGACCAACTATTCGTTTTTATCATAATTGCTTGTTTTTTCCAGATATTTCTTTCATTGGCCCCGAATAACTATTCCATTTTATCATATTGCTTGATGCATTTATGATTTACTTAATTCTCTTCTTTTTAGTAGAGCATACTAGCCCCTAAGTTGGTTAGCTATTGTAAAACTGCATTTGATACTGTGCATAACTAATCTGAGAAAAGGTATTGCATGAGGTCCAACAGTCAATTACAGCTTAGTTTAAGCACAGTAAATTGAAGATCTAATTTACTCTTAGAAGGATCACCTTAATACATGAATAACAAAAGGCCAGTATACAATGGACCAATGCTGATTCCGGCTATCTGGGTATTGGGAGGGGTGGACTGGATATGGCTTCTGGTATTTCAAGTATGAAGTTCTCTTTTCTCATGCTTGTCGGCTCAAAATTTTACCATTGCACAAAACAATGGAAAAAAGTACTTAGTTTTTAAATACATGAAAGAAACCAGTAAATGGATTTCTCAATGACTTGAAACTCAAATATCCTTTCCCCCCTTGATAGCAGGAAATGCCTGAAATAAGTACAATTCTTTCCATGTAACATGTAGTTGGTTTTCATGGCTTACAGACGTGATGAACAATTAAATAGAGCATTATTGCAGTACTCTAGGACTGGGAATTAATTCATTAATTCCCTTCAGGATACAGAAACTAGGCGTGACCTCCAAATGGTGAAATGGGTAATTTACTAATTTTCCCCTCTAGTTGTGATCCTAGTAGCCCATTAGCCATTTGTTTCAATATTTGATTTTTCTGACAATATTGATGGCCTAAATTCTTCTAGCTTCTGCCTACCTGAAACCTTCAAGGTAAAATCCATTTCTTAGATATGTAAAGGCATTCAATTTATTCATGTAGGGGAGGTAGATACACAGCTAAGCAGGTTGGTTGAATTTTCGGTGTCTCGTTAGGATAGTTGATGCCCTTAACAAGAAAAAAGAGAGAATTCAAACAGGTATACTCATTGATTGGGATCACTTGACTGAATCCTTGTGTGCCAAGGTCTTCAAAGCTCAAGAAAACTCTCAACTGGTAATGGTTTGACGAACTGGGAAATTGACTGAAGGATGAGCAGATCAAGAAAATTTTGATTTGTTCACAAGTTCGGTAAAGATCGAGGAGAAGCTGAGAAGCGATGTCTTGAATCAACTTTTGAAAAAAATAAAAAGCGATCACATCACAGAAGAAAAATATTAGGATTGGAGACGAGTCGAAAAGGCTGTTCTTCTGTTGGTGATCGATACTGGGTCGCTGGGCTTATTCTGCTTCTGCAGAGATAGAGGGATGATGCATCCCTTCCAGACAGTATATCACCATGAGGCTTGGGATAAGTGATGCTCTACGTCTGCGTTGACCATGCGATCAATTCCCTTCACTATATAACAGAGGTTTTCTGATCTCTCTCTCTCTCTCTCTCTCTTTCTCTCTCTCAGATCTAAACTTTTTTGGTATTTTTAGAATTTTTAAATATAACAGTAAGCAAGACATTAGAACTCAATTTGCATTAGTTGAAATGCCTATTGATTCTCTCTTATTTAATTTAGTAGTAATTTAATGATTATTATAAATTTTATTTAATATAAGAAACTAAATACAAATCTTAATATAAGATTAGATGTTTAATATTATTAAAATTAATAAATCAATCAATTTGGTGGGCTCATTTCTAACCGAATAATTCTATATTTTTTATTAGTTTTCTCCAAATCAAAATTTAAATTAATCAAATTCTCCTATGGAAGGATTTGTGGATGTTTATAAAAGCTAAAAGTACTACCTATTGAGGTAGTACATACTTTTCAAATTCTTGGTTGTGTTCATGTGTGTTTAGTTTTCAAAACTGAAGCAAAAAATATGTTCTTAATTCTGGTTTCAAAAACATGTTTTCATCTGATTATTCAACATCATGTTCCATAAATCATTTAATTTTTATACTTTTTTTTTGTATTAAAGAACAAATATTTCGTTGGTTTAAAAAACATGCATTGTTTTTTGAAACAAAACCTACTTGTTTTTTCCTTTGGAAACAAAAACATAGTTCAAGAACATGTTTTTGTTTTTTGCTGATGTGGTGATTCCAAAAACAAACGAAAACAAAAACACTCGTTGTAAAATGACCCTTAAAATGAGAAATGTTCAGCGTAGCATTAATATATATTGCATATAAAAAGCATCTAAGTAATTCTGTGCAATCTGAGCAAATCTGAGCAAAACTATGCTGAATGAAAAACCTATTCTATGCAAGCAAAGGTGTCTGAGTAAAAACTGGGTAATCCGAGTAAAACTGTGCTAAATGAAAAACCTATGCTATGTGAGCAAAGGTGTCTGAGTAAAATATAGGTAATCTGAGAAAAACCATTTGAGTAAATTCTGTGCAATCTGAGCAAAATCTGTGTTGAGTGCAAACCTAGGTATTCTGAGTAAAAGCATCTGAGTAAATTCTGTGTAATCTGAGCAAAATATGGGCAATATGAGTAAAAGCGTATGAGTAATTCTATGCAATTTGAGCAAATTTGAGCAGAATCCAGGTTGAGTGCAAATCTGGGTATTCTAAGTAAAATCTGTGTTGAATGAGAATTTTGTGCTACTTAAGCAAAATATATATATATATTTTTTTTGATAGCTTAGTGTCTTGGGGGACTTTGGAAAACTTTTTCTTTGTGATTGGCACCTGAATCTTGGGTGACCGAAAACCCTAGTTTTTTGGTGACAATGATGAATGATTGGAATTTTCTTTTATCGCTTTTATGCTTAAGAACTATGTAATGCATGTCACAAAGGATTCTTGTCATTTTCCTCTTCTTTTCAAATTTTTTTACTTGATCTTCTTCTCTTTGCTTCATTCTTTATTTTCTCTTTTTTGCTTGATCTCAAGGTTGAACAAAGAAGTAGTAGGCAAAAGGGGTAACAAACAAGAGAAGTGGTGAAGATGTCACCAATACTAACTTGCAACAAAGCAGATAAGTCCTTAGGCATTATACTGAACCTAGATGCAGTAAGAATGACCAAGTTCTTTTTGGAAGGTGACAATCAATGCCTTAAGAGAATCAGGGGTAGGCCTTCAAAATGTTAAACTGTTAATCTGGAATTCATTTGTAACAAAGGGGGTTACCCCAGTTCTGATGGGTAGGTTGATGAGGTCGATGGGAATGATGCTTCAATGACCAGGGCGTACCTCAGTTTGGGTAAAGAGGTGGATAGGGTTGACAGGAATGGTTCTTTGATAAAGGGATATATCCTGACTTCCAATGGTGAGTGGATGAGGTTGACGGAAGTGATACTTTGGTGAAGGACTACCCCGGTTTGGGTTGGAGAGTTGGCATGGTTGATGGAGATGGTCGTGGATTGAACTCAAGCTGGAAATCAAAATTTCTAATACACTTTTCTAACTGGTTTGTTCGTCGCTAGCCGAAAAAGGTTTGTTTGATACCGAATGCTAATTTCATAAAGATCGAGGATGACTTATTTATTTGGGACGAAACGTGGCTTGGTACGAGGCTCAGAAATGAATGGTACATAGGCCCAAAAGTTGCTTAAGGACCCTTATGGGAAGATGCACCATCATTTCCTTTTTCTTTTTCTTTTTTTTTCTTCTCTCTCTCTCTCTCTCTTGTTATCTCCTTTTGTAGCCTCAACGATGGGACATGCTCTTCACATTTTCCATCAATATGTGCCACGCTCTCTTACCGATCGGGGAGGACTTTTGGTTAGGATGAAGTGTATATGGGGGCCAAGAAGTTCGAACCACTGAGCAAATGTCAATGATGAGGGTTGGTGAGACCATCAACTATACCCCAAACTTTTCTAACAACTTTTTTCTTTTAATTCCTCATAATTCTTTCATCCTTTTTCCAATGTCGTGAGCCACATTCAGGCTTCCTTGATTTAAACCCTTTCTTTTTAAATTGGTATCTTCTCAAACTTTTTTCATTCTTTACTTATTTTTCTTCAACTATATGGATACCCCCAGCTTTTGACACTCACCCACTCGAAGATGTTTAGTTAAGCACAAGTTGGTGTGGAAAGCTCAAAAAGGGAACTGGTGGAAATACTTTGCAACTTTATGAGGTTAAAGGTATTAGACAAGGCAAACAACCAATGATGGCCTCCCTTCATTTCATTATCGATTGAATGACACATATAAAGGGAATACATGTTGAGTTGTACATGTGTTCGTTTGATGATAGATTGGCTTTAGGAGACACTCTTCTTCTTCTCTTTCTTTTGAATTTTTGAATTATTTTCTTATCATTTGAGAAGTGCATTTCGAGGAATTCGGTTTGGCTTACAAAAGGAAAGGTCTGATTGATTGGACTAACGGGCTAACTAGCGATAATAGAGGTGGTGAGGTCAAGTGAGGAATTAAACAATTGATGATGGCCACCAGGTGATAGATCGACACTACTGCTTGGAGGGCGTGTAGGATAGGTCAACCCAAGATGGCATTATAAGGTGAGGGGGTTGCGACCACAAGGAAGTCGCGATCAAACTGAACCAAGTTGGGGGCTGAGCTTGCTACAACTGGTTCCCTCACCCGACCAAGGGGCCGAACTACTTCTCTGCTGAAGGCAACCAAGGGTACGCCGGCCAGTTGTAGATCCTTTTTTCTGAGCTCCACCCGCTCGAACGCTTCCTGGAAGATGATGTCGGCCGAGCTCCCTAAGTTGACCAAAATTCTTTTTACTTCAAAGT